AAAGTCTGGTCCTTAGATTTGGTTTTCTCTAGGCTAAAAACTTAGTGGACATAACCCAGTGACAGTAATTTTATAGGTTCTCTGCCAACCATTCCATTATAAATATGTTGACCTTGCTATAAATGCTACATATAAACTATGAGCAAAAAAAAGGCTTCTAATTGAGGACTAGAAATCAGATGAAAGTGAGATTTAATTGAGTATTGTAAAAATGAAATGATTTAATGTTTTGAATGTAAATAAAAAGTGACATATTAACTGATGCCTGCATCTTTATGTTTGAAAGTACAATTTCAGAAGATTTGAATTTAATATTACCACCAACTTTATTCTGCTCTGTTTAAAATAACCCATCCCAAAGATAGAATGTGGCCTCCTAACGGAACTGTCCTTGTACTCCTTAAGACAGACAGATAAAGCATGTCCACGTAGCTTATGTGTGGTCATATCTGACCCAGCAACAGAAACTGGCAGGGAGCCGGCCTGTCTGTGTGCAGACAGTATGAAACAGTCTGTTTCCCTTGCAGCTGTTTACATTTCCTCATTTTGCTGGGGTTTTTTTAATAAAAAGTGCTGAGGTTGAGTAACTAATTTCATTAGAAAGAGAAAACAAACTAATAGATTCATTCTTGTTTTCTCTCTAGGGATAATTTATTAACATTCTTCCCTTTCTCCCTCCACCTCACCTTCTACATCTCAGCTTTACAAATACATTTGATATCTTCACATTTCAGGAAAGTAAATAGCAAAAGGATTATGTTTTATCATTTCAATCCATCTTGAATTTAAGGTTCTGGTGCAGTCAACTACAGCTCTCAGACCAAATCCAGCCAGTCACCTCTCTTGTAAGTAAAGTTTTATTGTAACACAACCATGCCCATTCATTTGTGAATTTTCAGTGGCTGCCTTTGCATACATGGCAGAGTTGAGTGGTTGTAACAGAGTTCAAATGGTGTCTGAAATATTGACTATCTGGCCAGGAAAGAATTAGGATGCTAACATTCTTTAACAGGGCAAGGCTTGTAGTTGATTGGCTAATATCTTTTAAATCATATTTAGTGTATTTTTTCCTAGTCTATAAGTGACATTTTCTGAAGTTCTTTCCCCAAATATTTGATGAAGGTATCTCACTGAAGGCACAAGACTTTGTGTATTGCTGAATTATAATATAAGCCAAGGAAATCTGGTATGAAAGAAAGGATAGCACATCAAGCAGCCTCGGCTTAGTCTCTGCTACTCTGGCTGTAGGACCCTGAGCTTGTCACGTAACCTCACTGGACCTCAGCTTTCTCCTTGAAATGGGAGAGTTGAATCATGTTAATATATAAGATCTCTTCTGCCTTGAACAATTTTATGTAGTGAGTCATCCTTCAAACATACAAAAAAAAGAAAAGAATTAAATGTGGTCAGAATAGAATTTCTTAATTTTGAGGGAAATATTTTAACTATGTGAATGATAAATAATCTGTGGTTCTTAAAGAAACAAGCTAAGAAATAAGTATTCCCACTGTTTATTTTTGTTGCTCTGAATTTTTTTAAATATCTATTTACAGTTCCTATGTACCAGTTCAAATAATCATTTTTTGAAGAAACATGCATTAAACATGTACTGTGTACTCAGCCCCATGCTAGGTGCCATTATGGGATGTCAAAGAATTCAGGAGTCTGGTCACAGAAAAAAAAGAAAAAAGCACTTAAACAGCTTGTTCTATAATCTTGTCCCTCAATATAGCCATTGCCCTCTTGGTTGTTAATGCCCTTGGTGTGGCAGGCATACAAATATTGGCTCTGCCCTGGGTTGCTTCTGCCCCCAGGGGTTACTCCACAGCTACATCTGGGTCCATTTGTTCTGTGCAGACAGCCCTCTTGGGCAGGGATCCATCAAGATGTCTCTAGCCAGATTACTTTCTGAGACAGGAACTCGACTCATGGGAAACACACATTCTTGCCCCAGCATACAAGTGTTGGCCGCCCTACCACTGGCCTCACCCTACCCTCAGGGGCTGCCCCTGAGGCAGACTCCAGCCAAGAAGGAGGCAGTCAGCAGTCTCTTTCCAGTTGGGACCCCAAACACCACCAAATGTCAAGCTGCCCCAAGGATTCTGTCTTACACAGGGCTCCCTCCTCATGCACCAAAATAGGCCTTATAAGTTGCTGCAACTCAGCAAACATTCCTTCAGAGAATGCGATAGTGACCTCTCCTTGCTGGCACCTCCAGTTTCTGTGCATAGTTCTTTTGGAGCATCCATTGTCCTTTACTTTCATGGGGTAGGGCAACTCCCTCTCCTTTCTTCCCCATCAAGAAGAAGGGAAAAATCAAATACTTCATCTCCTCATCCCATAACTCCTACAGATTCCAGGCTTCTGCCTCTATACAGAATGGGGTCCTGGGGTGAGTGTGGAAGGACCATTTTGAGCACTTTTCAGCAAGTCCTAGAGGGATGATGTGGCAGTTTTCTAGCCCACTTGGTGCTACTTGATTCCTATTGACCTTAGCTCTTGGCTTTAGCTGAAAGTCCAAAAACAGGCAGAGTCCCAAATCACATTATTCTGTATATTCTTTATACTTCATGGACTCGGGGAGGGAATAAAAGGTGCTGAGAAAAAGAAGCTACTGCTTTCCTTTGTTCTCCAAACCCAACTGCCTCCCACCTGCCCCCAGACCTTGACAGAATTTTACATGAATTTGAACTTTGAGTTCTAAATTTCATAAACATGACCCATAAGAATGACAAGTGGAAAAGCTGCATATTTCTCATTACTGTTTTAAACAGCTGAATGTTACATTGCATTGAAAATGTCCTGCATTAATTACTTTTTATTTGACACATTTCTCAAATGCTTTATATTTGTTATGGGTATCCCTAAAATATTTTGAGCCCCTAAGGCAAAAATATAGTAATAGAAATGGAGCAGGGTGGGGGAGAATTGAAGGTTGGCATATTATGCATTTATATCCAGATAGTCACCAACTTGGGGCTGCTCACTGAAAATCTCTTCCAGATGATATTGCTGGAGACCAGATTACTCTCTGATCCTCAAAGAGATCAAGCTGTCATACATTTATGGGCTATTGTCTTTGAAATTTGTGACTCCTTTGAGGGCAAGAACTTCCATCTTTTTAATCTTTGTAACCCTAGTAAATAGAACCCCACTGGCTAATGCATAGTAGGACCTTAATATTAGATGGATGGATGGATGGACGGACAGACGGACAAGCGGTCACTTCTTCCCACTGATAGTGATATGAGCTCCTTCTCTGCCCCTTCTAGCCTTGGTACTTACTTGCCTTTTTTGTTCATGAGCAGGCAGTTGGGGTTTATCATCTGTTCTTGTCTGCATGGACACTATTCACTCTGTCCAGTGCCTGACTTGAGAGCTCTAGTCCTGTGCTCTCAAGAACTTTAGTAAGCAGCATCTAATAAGTGCTCAATACAAGTAGTAACTGTCATTGCTATTATTGTTACTCTTATTCTCAGAATTTAACACTGGGCATAAGTTATAAATACCTAAGGAGTTTATTAAAACACAAACTTCTACACCCCCCCTTTCAAATTCTTATTCAGTAGGTCTGGAGTGAGGCCGAGAAATCTGCATGCTTAATAACCACTGCAGCTGATTATGCTATGAGTCCTCAAGAAATCATACTGGCATAAGACCTAGGGAACTGTACTTGGCATAGTAAGATCAAGCCAAAAATAAAATGTCTCCAGTGACAGAGTAAGAGCAATTCTTGGACCTGTGGAATTTTTGTTGCTTTGTGAGTAAAAACTAATATGCATTTATTAAATGTGTAAGTAGAAACTAATACTAATCATAGCTGAAAAAGTTTGAAAGTAGGACTAGTAATATCCCTTGGTCAAGAAGACAAAACTTTTCATGGTGGAATTAGGCATTATAAGGTGATAGTGCCGTCAACCTGTAAAGCCTCTAAGTTTTTCTGTTCAAACAGTAGCATTCAGGAGTTTTTGAAATCTTTGTATTGTTCATGTGCTTTTTAATTTTGTTCAATTATCAATATTATGACATGTCAGGTTATGACTCTCTGTTTTGTAAGTTTTATATATTTTAAATGTGTTTTGTTTTAATTTACTGATCCTTACTGGGGGGCGGATCAGTAAGGACCTCTCCACTAGCATGGTTGTGCATAGTAGGGGAGTTGAAAAAGGACAAAATTCAACTGCTTCAAAACTACCATATAGTTTCGAGAAGTTAGGAAATAGAAGTGGCAGACCAGCCAAGATCATTTTTAACTTGTCATTTTTCAAAGCAGACTACTGAATGAAACAGTTCAACCGAGATAGAAATTAACATTTCAACTGTATTTCTACACTACAGAGATTCTTCTCTAATGAAGTAATTTTCCTAAGAAACTTAAATTTTTGGTTCATTTAAAGTTGTGGGGGGGGTTAATATATTTAGATTCTTCTAATGTCTTCTCACATTCTGTGACTTTCAAATTCAAAAGGGAAAAACTTTATGTCCTTGATTTCCTGTGTAAGGGTGCCAGCACTGATACTGTTAATGAACATCTCTAGTAAAATAAGCACAGACCTTTTATGAGAACATTCCTTCATAGAAGGAGTTGGGTTTGCCCTTTCCCAAGATGTAGATTTCTGTGAAAATTCCTTCAGTCACATCTTGGCCAGAACACATTCTTTCAAGTTATTCTGTATTCATCTTACTAAATGTTGCTTCTATCAGAGGAAAAAGTACTGTGATTACTGAAATATTGATGAATTTAAAATGACAAGGCAATTGCCACATTGACAGAATTTTGGACATCTCTTTAAAGGTGATTTTTTTAAAAGGTATGCATACGGCTCATATTTCATCAAGTTTCCTTGAATGAACAAGAGATGATTAACAAGAAGATCCCACTGAAATCATCAGCCTGCCTTTTTAAGAGGAAAATATTGTTTAGTGAAATAATAAATATGAAGCTCTGGTTTTTAGCAAAGAATGATAAATGTTGACTGGATTTTCTTCTTTGCTTTTAGCTGTATGACAAAATTAACACAAAGTCCTCACCACAAATCAGGAATCCTCCGAGTGATGCAGTACAGAGAGCCAAAGAGGTAAGTGACATATTTTATAAACATATCTGGGTGCATAATTGCTGTCTTTGTTGAAAACATTTCTACTGCACAGGAAGAAGCAGTTTCCTTGGAGTCATAGTTGGACCATTATACTGAGATTTAGTATTTCTAAGTTTACCACTTAGCATTTACATATAGAAAAGAAAAACAATCACAGAGCAACATTGCCTAGATTGCTAGTTCTGGTTCTGCTATGTAAACTTGAACATGTTAATATATAAATTTTGCTTTTCTTTTTTTTAAAAAAAGTTATTTTATTGTACTTGGTGAAAACACACATGCTCTGAAAATTTGAGTTGCTTTTCTAAGGTGGTAATGTTTGAAAGTTAATTAACTATCTGTAGCATCTAAGTTCAGAGATAACTCATTTCAGTAAATTGTCGATTGATGTGTATCTGCCACAGACTTTAAAACTTTTTAATATAGAAATATGATATTGCAGAAAGCTTGGAAAATAAAATGAAAATGAAAATTACTGTGTTAGGGTGATGGGATTGTGGATGAATTTTTGTTTTCCAAACTTTCCAGTCACTATTCATTTGCATATAAATTTTTATGTAGTTACAATCAAAATGTATCTTTTTTTAACCTAACATTATATAATGAGCATTTTTCCATGTTTCCACTTGGTCTTTATAAATATAAGTTCTAATGATGGCCTAATTTTTCTTTGTTACTACTAAATAGTGAATTAGCAATTCCCCCATTGTTAGATACCTAATGGTTTTTTTTTCATTTTTTGATGTTATAAAAGTCTTCATGCAAATAAACATTTCTCTTTGAAGAAGTTTGTTTCTTATAAAGTCAGGTTACTAAATGAAAGAATATGAAAGACAACCCTGACCATTGTGACTCAGTTGGTTGGGTGTCATTCCACAAAGCAAAAGGTTGCTGAATTCCAGTCAGAGCATCTGCCTGGGTTGCAACTCCATCCTGGAGACAACCTATCAATGTTTCTCTTGGATGTTTCTCTCCCTCTTGTTCTTCCTCTCTTCCCCTCTCTCTAAAAATAAATTTTAAAAAATATTTTTAGAAAAAGAATATGAAAGATGACATTTCTTCCCTGACAGATTTTAAACCCAAGACCTATACTGTAAAATATTGTATATTCATTGAGAAACAAGACCTAGGACAGGGGCTGCAAGGCCTGCCCATATCTCGATAGGGCAGCAGCCAGGAGAAGTCCTCTCTTACTTAGGAGACCACACCTCTGTGTTTAAAATTATAGATTGTGAGAGTGGTAGGGAAGCAGAGAGAGTACATTTATATAAGAAAGAAACCCTGTAGTTTCTATTTGTCCATTTGTTCCCCAAATTGGTTGAGTAGCACTTAGGTATACTGCTGAAACCTAAGCCTTAGGCTAAGTGACCTTACAACATTCCTTCCTGCCATGGTATTAAAATTCTCCAAGAGGAGATGAGACACTCCTACTGAATGGATGACTTTTGTGCCCCTGGCATCCAGTTCTGCTGAAGCAATCCTTGGCTAGTTCAACTTTTGGAATTGAATACAACTTGTATAACCACTCTTTAAGTCCAGCCATCTACAGTTAAGAATCATAGTGGTTTGTTTACTCTCAAAGACAACAGAAGTTTACCCAGGCTCATGTCACATGATCAAATTTTAAATGTGTAAACTCCATCTTGGTGATAAGGGATAGCTTTTGGAGAACAATTTCATTTGAAAACAATCATTTTTACCTGAATAGAGAAAACGTTAACAACTAATTAGTGAAGAAAATTTCAGTGAAAAGAGAAATGTGTTTTTTTATTATTATTCTCTTGGATGCCCTGGCAATTAATCCTAGGAACCATTGGCAGAGCAGTGGTTCTGTCTAAGTGAGGAGATGGGTGTGAAGAATAACATTGATTCTGCCAAGCTGTGAAGAAAATTACTCATGTTTTTCTTCTTTAATTTGTTTTTATTTGAACCTATGTCATTTTAATCATTCTAAAAGGAATTGACAATTTTGTTAATGTAAAATAAAACTATTATTAACTTTTATTACAGATTCCTTTTGGTGAGTTTGGTGAGTTTGGAAAAAAGTTTGCAGAGATAATTTACCATTAAGTTAATTAAGTTACACTTGTAATAAATATGTTGTACACTTATTTTGTATTTTTCAATAACCTTTTGAGTTATCATTGGATAATGTAGGCAAGGACTATTATAATAATTTTTAAATTTTTATCATCATCAATATAGTTCTTTTATATATTAATAACCTTTGAATAAAATGTTGGATTGTTTCCAAAATAATTATTTTTTTTCTGTCATAAAAATCCATAATTTTTTTAATTTAAAAGACTTCTGTATTTTTAAAATTTTGCATCGTCTCTATACTGTTACATATCTTGCTTATTTTTTATTTTTTAGGTATTGGAAGAAATTTCATGTTACCCTGAGAATAATGATGCAAAGGAACTAAAGCGTATTTTAACACAACCTCATTTCATGGTAAGTAACAAACTTCCACAGAACTAAAACCTTACTTTCAAAAGAAGTTTTTAATATTTTTTATTTTATTAAAGTACAGTTAGCATTCAATATTACATTAGTTTCAGATATACATCATAGTGATTCAACATTTATATGCCTTATAAAGTGATCACCACAATGTCTAGTAACTATATGTCACCATGCAAAGTTATTACGATATTATTGACATATTCCCTGTGCTGTAACCTACATCCCCATGGTTTATTTATTTTATAACTGGAAGTTTGTACATCTTATTCCCCTTTACCTTTTAAAGAAGAAGTATTTTGTAATCCTCATAAAACAACCATCTTCATCAAATACATTTTTATCCATATAATATCAGACTGTTAAAATTATAATATAAACTAATACCAAGTGCATTAAGATACTTTTGTTTACTTTGTGTCACTGTTCTAAAGATGCTGTTTTTGAGGTGGCTCTTCAAATACCATGCAGCCGTCAGACAAGGAATTTGCTTCCTACAGGGTTGTACTTAGATCACTACAACTGTTTATGTTACTTAAACCACAGAGAGCTCAAACTGGAGACGGTTCTCACTAATAAAAAATTCTCTGAACATAGGCGATATATTACAGTAATTACATCTCTTCACAATGCAGAACTCTTATACTTTTCTTCATTCATTTCTACTATTTAAATGGGATAGCACTTGTATTTAGCCAATTATTACAAGGCTAAATGGTTAAACAGAACTCAAAGTAGATGAGATATCTTTCTATAGAAGAAGGTTCATAAGTTGTCTACCTAACTTCAGTTCAAAAGCATGATTACAGATGGAAATTTGTATTAAATATAACATTTTTAAAACATTAGACACATCAGGTTCAAAAAACTATGGTACATTTACACAGTGGAATTCTATGCAATAGAGAGAAAGAAGGAGTTCCTGCCCTTTCCGACACCATGAATGGGACTGGAGAGCATTATGTTAAGTGAAATAAGCCAGATGGTAAAAGACAAATACCATATGATCTCACCTTTAACTGGAACATAATCAACAAAAGAAAAAAGCAAACAAAATATAACCAGAGACATTGAAATTAAGAACAATCTAACAATAGTCTTAGGGGAGCGGGGAGGGGACAATGGGGAGAAGGGTTTTCAGGAACTAATATAAAGGACACATGGACAAAACCAAGGGGGAGGGTGGAAGCAAGGGAGGGAAGGAGGTTTGGAGGAGGGAGGTAGGAGGGGGAGAAAATACAACTGTAATTGATCAATAAAATAATTTAAATTAAAAAAAAATTAGACACATCAGTATATATGGAATATGTGTAGAAAATGGAAAATCCAAGTGACTATTCTTTGGGAGAAAATCTGACTTAAAAGCTATGTTCTCTTTACTACTATGAGGTGAAATTTTAAAAATAACAGTAACAGTATAAGTGTATCATATCAGTGACTGTGAATTTTGACATACATTGTACTGTGTGATACAGTGTATTAAAACATTTACCTGGGCATTGAAGTAGAATTTTTCCTCAAAGTGACCACCTAAGAAGAAACAATAACCACAGTCACCCTAACTCTCCCACCCAAATATGAAAAACTGAAATCAAGTATAATTCTTGAGATACTTGACTTGATTCCATATGGTAGCAGCACTCTCAAGTGAATTACAGGAAATCCGATTCCAACCTGTTTGTATTCACCTGTGGAACATTCTAACACATGCTGGCCTACAGAAGCAGGTCCCATCACCAGTGAATGGGCACGTGTCACCTCAGCTTGGTTGTTCTCATTAAATTTACTTTTTTAAAGATTTTATTAATTTGTTTTTAGAGAGAGGAGAAGGGAGTAAGAAATAGAGGGAAATACCAATGTGTGGTTGCCTCTCATGCACCCCCAACTGGGGACCTGGCCCGCAACCCAGGCATGTGCCCTGACTGGGAAACCAACCAGCATCCTTTTGGTTCACAGGCCAGTGCTCAATCCACTGAGCCACATGAGTCAGGGCTGAATTTATGATGGCATTTAATAGTTGTTATTATCCGTTGCACAGACCAAGAAAATGAAGAAATTCCATGCCTTACTAGTCTCCTCAAGTTTGATAAATCACAATGTCAGGAGTTAATTATCTTTACATAATATTATCTTGTTCCCTGATTGTTTCATATATGTAAGCTATGTTTCCCCATATTGTAATTAATTCCCCTTTAGCCATCATGTCTTATATAGTGTAAAAGTGATTAAAGCTGTAGGTTCAGATGGATCTGGGATTGAACTCCAGCCTTACCACCCTCAACTCTGAACTCTGACTCTCTGAGCCAACCTTATGAAGTTGGAATAAGAATTAAGTAAATGGTATATCTACCATGCTTAGCACAGTGCCTGATGCATGCTTAATACCTAATAAATGTTAGCTAGTGAACATTATTAGTTACTCCATAGTGTCTTATCATGTGTAGGGTATATAGTATTGTTCTCAGTAAAACTGAATAGGTTAGGAACTTGCCCGTTTGCAGATAGGTTAGCCTCACCTCAACTGTTCTGCGCAATGTGTTTTCCATAGATACAAATCTGAACATTTTTGATAGACATGTCATTCTATAAATTGTTAAATGACTTCAGCTCAAGTCAAAGAATGACTATTTGAGACCAGTAAATCTTTCAGATTTGATGTAAGCTAAATAAAGAAATTAACATATACCCAAATAAGAGCCTTTTTAAGGCTAAGTTTTTTTCAAAATCATTAATGCTCAGATACTTCCATGTCTCACAACTTACCTACCTTCAAAGCCTTGATTATTTTGCTTTTCTGAAGTCAGAGAGAAGTTAATGTGTACATTGTTATTAGTGTACATTTTCAGAAATAATAAATAGTTCTTAATTTTTGAATACCTAGCTAGATGCTTAAAACACAATTTCATTCATTTATCAAATATGTAATTGCCTACTATGTGCCAGGCACCACACTAGGTACCAAGGATAGTGGTGAATAGGACAGATAAGGTCCCTGCCTTCATGGAACTTCCATTCTAGTGGGGGTGGTTATGAGGATACATACGTGAGCTAGAGACAGATAGTAAGCAGGAAAACTAACAAGATAATTTCATATAATGATAATAACTATGAAGAAAAGAAAGGATAATGGGGTAGAGATGATAGTAAAGTGGGAGCTACTTTAGATAGTCAGGGGAAAGCCCTTATGAGGAGTTAGCACATGAACTAAGACTTGTTATGAGAAAGAATGAGCCTTCTGAATGGGCAAGCCTGGGGAAGAACAAAAGCAAAGGCCCAGAGGCCAGAAGGAGCTTTGTAAGGTCAAAGGACAGAAGGAAGGCCATTGTGGCTGGGAGAGTGAAAAAGGAAGCAAGTTGTACAAGAAGAGCTAGATGACAGGTCCTTCCAGGCCATGGTAAGGAGTCTGGATTTTCTCCTGATTGTTGTAGGATGGCACTGAGTGATTGCAAGCAGGAAAATATTATCAGATCTGTGCTTTAGAGGTCGCTGGGCCTGATGTGTAGATAATGGACTATAGGGAGATAAGAGTTAAAAGAAGAAGGCCAATTCATAGGCTGCTGTGAGAAGTGGTAGAGGCTTGGAGAAAGATGGGGCTAGTGGAAAATGGACAGCTTGAGATTCTACATCACAGATGGTTGACTATGACTGGACTTGCTGATGGATGGGATGTGAGGTGGTGTGATTAACCCCTTTTACACTTCACAGAGGAAATTGTGTCCTTGAAAGGTAAAGGGGCTTGCTTGAGACCACCCACATAGTAAGTGGCCTCCACGCAGTTCAAAATACAGATCTTCCTGGCTCCAAAGCCCATGCTCTTAAAAGTGTGTTGACATTTTGATGGTTGCCAGATGGAAGGGAGTTTGGGGGGATAGGTGAAAAAGGTGAAGGGATTAAGAAATACAAGTAAGTTGTTACAGAATAGTCATAGGGATGTAAAGTACAACATAGGAAATATAGTCAAAAATATTCTACTAACTATGCATGATGTCAGATGGGTACTAGATTTATAGGGATGATCACTTAGTAAGTTATGTAATGTGTATACCTGAAACTGATATAATAAGGCATGTCAACTGTAATTGAAAAGTCAAAAAATGGCATTTAAAAGTTGCAGAAACTTTCTATCTTATAAACATTGTAAAATCATGATTTCAAAATCTTACCATTTCTAAAGAAATATTAATAGCTAAAGGGAAATATTTTAATGCTTATATGTTGTTATTATGCCAGGGTTTCCAAGTTATTCTTATTCTAAATATAAATTATACTTACAATTTCACAGTTACATGTTCAATTACCTGGCTTTTCCTTTGTTTTCTGATCACTGAAACATGAGGATTTCACATTGAGTTACCTGAGACTTACAAATGCAGATACTTGTAAATATTTACAGTAATTCAAGGAAGAGTAAGTGTAAATTTAAAAGATTATTTAAAATCTGTACTCTAAAGGTCATGAAAAAAAAATATTATCACACCAGTCCCTTTTTCAGTTATTCCATTGGAAAGACTGTTTTTTTTAAAAAAGAAGAGATCTTCTGGTTTTTGCAATTGTAAAATATAAAACAGTAAAGATAAAGACAAATATTAATAAAATTAATACTTTAATTTTTGTCTTTAAGATATCAGATCTAGAACAAAAGTTTTTAAAAGCAAATTTGTATCATACTTTCCAAAAAAAATAAAATAGTTAAAATCACCTTAGGTTGTCATGAAATTTTCATTAAGAGGTAAATTTTATGATTTGTAATTAAGAAGCCAGAGGAGCCCTGGCCAGATGTCTCAGTTGGTTGGGACATTGTCTAGTATACCACAAGGTTGCTGATTTGATCTCTGGTCAGGGTGCTTGCCAGAGGGAACTGATTGATGTTTCTCACATTGATGTCTCTTTCTTTCTCTCTCCCTTTCTCTATCTCTCCCTCTCACTTTCCTTCTCTTCCTCTCTAAAATCAATAAACATATCCTCAGGTGATGACTAAAAATAAAAGAAGCCAGAGGAACTATTTTTTGAACCTGAAATTAGTATTTTTTTCTATTCATTTAAAACTAGTCAAATTTTTTCTACTCTCATCTGAAGTTATTAGTTGTCTTGTCTATATCCTTACAGTACAAAAAATGAAAGTGTTTCTTTCCTATTACATAGTTCTTATGTAATTAAAAATAACAGCTATTTCAGCTTAGTAACAATTGCTCAGCCATCCCTCATTACATATTTGAAGAAAAATATTCAAACTTTGATTTTCCTGCCCTGGCCAGGTGGCTCAGTTGGTTGGAGCATTGTCTCGTATGCCAAAAGATTGCAGGTTTGATTCCTACTCAGGGCACATACCTAAGTTGCTGTTTCGATCCCTAGTCAGGGCACATATGAGGAGCAACCGATCAATGTTTCTCTTACATTGATGTTTCTCTCTCTCCCTCCCTTCTTTTCACTCTAAAATCAATAAAAACATATCCACGGGTAAGATTTTAACCTCTGATGTTTTGTGGGGCTTTTTGGCATACTCTTTTAATGGCTTTTTTAAAACAATCTGTTGCCCTGACCAGCATGGTTCAGTTGGTTGAGCATCTTACTGCAGACCAAAAGGTTGTTGGTTCAGTTCCCAGTCAGAGCACATGCCTGGGTTGTGAGCTCTGTGCTCTGCCCCCATTTGGGTGCTTGCAGAAGGCAGAAGGCAACCAACTGATGTTTCTCTCTGTCTTTATTCCCTCCCTTCCCCCCTAAAATAATTTTTTTTAATTTTTTAAAAATAAAAATCTGTTAAGAGGCCCCTTGTTTTCTGTTTACATATACATTGGGGCTTTGTGTTAAGTTTTATTTTGTGGTAGCAATCATTTACAGTGACAAATTGTGGTCAATATCAAGTATATCTTTATATAGTGACATATTTAAGCATTTTTCTTTTAAACTTCAATTTGGGCAGCTTTTTGTGATTGTGGCTTTATCTTTCCTTATAAGTAGTACATTAAAATACAAGTGTTTGATTATATATTTAAAAGGATAAATGGAAATAATTTGTAAAAAGCAGTGTAAACATTTTCTCCAACTCATGTAACTGGCATTATAACCTAATGAAAGCTTGGTTCTCTGTTTACCTGGCTCTATATGAGGATCGTATCCTCCAGTCAACAAAACATGTTTTTAAAAATTCACTAATTGTGGCCCTGGCTGGTGTGGCTCAGTTGGTTGAAGCAATATCCTATAAACCAAGAAGTCACGGGTTCAATTCTTGGTCAGGGCACATGCCTAGGTTGTGAGTTCAGTCCCTGTTGGGGCACGTACTAGAGGCAACCAATCAATGTTTCTCTCCCTTTCTCTCTCCCTCCCTTCCCCTCTCTCTAAAATCAATAAGTATGTCATTGGGTGAAGATAAAAAAATAAAACAAAATACAATAAAATTCACTAATTATGGAAGACACCTATAATTGATATAGTTAATTTAAGCAGATGAAGTTTTTCAGTTTGTCGATAATTGATTTTTGCTTTCTGCCCTGTGCTAGTCTCTTAAGTGGCCATAATTAAACCAGAAAAAATGGGCATTTACCCACATAGCACAGCCTCCACACTTGGGCTCCAGCTACCAGTGCAGGCTGTAGTCAGGTAGTGGTCAGAAAGCCAAGATCCCCAGAGCCATTGTGGAGCCCCTCACACAGACCCCAGTTTCAACCAGCCCTCTGAAATCTTGGAAATATTTGCCATTTCCATTAGAAACTCAAATGCATATATGGCTTCAAGCACATTTTCTATTAATAACAAATCAACACCATCTTCTTTGTAATTTCACTGCATTGTTACTTTATTTTTGTCTCATATACATGGCTTAAAATTAAAATAGCCAAGTCATAACTTTCATAAGCCTTTTAATTAAATAATTTAATTTGAGATGCTAAGAGTAATATTTTCAAAGTGATTTTAATTGCATTTCATTATCATGAGGTATTTCATTATTGCACACACCACAGATTAAAACAGAATTGTGTTTATAGTTAGCACACAAGAAAATATAATCGGTATAAAGCTCCAAACATACTGATAGTCAGCTGTAAAATTCTTTTTGAAGTAGAAATGTCCAAATATTCATGCTTCTTAAAAACTTTTTTGTGATGGCATCAAAAGCACAGTATGTAGAAGAATATTAACTTTTAGGGAAACAAGGGCTATTTGTTATCCAATTCCACCAGGATGACATATGCAGATATCAATACAAAGAAATCACTTTTTCTGTGTTAACAGGCTTTGCAAAAGGAAATCATAATGATAATAGTCAACTTATCTTTCTTTCATTTAGTCAGGTGCTCCAAAAAGTAGAAATGAATAAAATTATCAGGTAGGATTAGATTTTGAACTCTGTGTCATGTGATAATTATGGAAAAAAATTCAGGTACACGTGTTTTTTATTTATTTTACTAAGTCATATGTTATAAATTATCTTTATCCTTTGGGTTATATAACAGTTATTGTTAATACTATCAATGAAAGATACTTGCTCAGCACACCAATTATTGCACTGTTTATTTTTTCATTTGTTTCCATTTTAAGCCCCAGCACAAATTTGCCATCTCTATTTACAGATGATTGTTTCTGCTAAATAATTTGAAATTGCATTATGTCAGCCTTTATTTGAACAAGTTAGTTGGTACTTTCTTATTAGCACCAGACAATACCTCTAACCCAGGTAATCAACAAACACATGCATTCATTGATGTACTCATTCATTCATTTGTTCATGTCTTAATTTATCATGATTATTTGTCATAGAGAAACCAGGGTATAGTTGTATCTAGGTATAATGGGCTATGAGTCCTCTGTACATGAGATGAACCTTTAAGAGGCAAAGAATAATTTTATGTATATTTATAGAATAGATTTCTGCTGGAATAGTGCTACTATTAATATTGTACTTTCTTCATAAAATATTAGGCCTTACTTCAGACTCACGACGTAGTGGCACATGAAGTTTACAGTGATGAAGCATTGAGGGTCACACCTCCTCCCACTTCTCCCTATTTAAATGGTGATTCTCCAGAGAGTGCGAACGGAGACATGGATATGGAGAATGTGACCAGAGTTCGGCTGGTTCAGTTCCAAAAGAACACAGATGAACCAATGGTAAGTAGGGAAACAAAGTTTTCTGTACTTTCATAAAATGACAGCATGAGTTAGAGCAACTAACTTCAACCTATACTACTAGTAGGTGGGGACAGAAGGAAGGCATGAATAGTTTTAAAGAAATAAGTTTCCAGATCCTCATTTTACCACAGGCATCCCCCACTGCTGCCCAGAATTGTTGTGATGACATCATGCCTATGGCATGTTGATTCTCCTTCTCATCTCTTCTTTCAGAATTGCTCTTCAGCCCTGACTGGTGTGGCTCAGTTGGTTGGGCACTGTCCGGCAAAGCTAAAGGCCATTAGTTCAACTCCCAGTCAGGGCGTATGCCTGGGCTGTGGGTTCAGTCCCAGGTTGGGGCATGTACAAGATGCAACAAATTGATATTTATCTCTCATATCCATGTTTTTCTTCCTCTTTTCTCCCTCCGTTCCCCTCTCTCTAAAAAAAAAAATAAAAATAAAAATCTTAAAAAAAAAAAAAAGGAATTGCTCTTCAGCTTTACCAAAAATAATAGGAAAAAAAAAGAATATATATGAGTACATTACCCCAGATGTGAAAACATCTAGGGCAGCAAAAAAAAGGGGGGGGAAGACATTTTGAAATGTTGGTATTGGTTTTGAAAAAGTGAGCAGGGTAGTTCAGTTGGTTGGAGTATCATCCCAATACACCAAGGTTGCAGATGCAGTCCCTGATCAGAATCAACCAACTAGTACATAAATAAGCAAAACAACAAATCGATGTTTCTCTCTCACCCCCTTCCTCTCTCACTCTAAAGTCAATAAATAATTTTTTTTAATATCCATGCTTTAAGGACTTCTGGCCACAATGGAGGCATAGCTAGATATACTTTGCCACCTTGTACAACCAAAAGAAGGACAACAACAAATTTAAAAACAAAAAATAACCAGAACTGCCAGAAAATTGAACTGTATGGAAGTCTGAAAACCAAGGAGTTAAAAAAGAAACACTCATCCAGATTGTTAGGGGGTGCAGAGAAGACATGCAGCAAGGCAGTGACTGCAAAACCAGGGCGGTCCCACATTTGCGTGCAGATAAACTGGAAGGAACAAATGGGGAGCAAGACAGACCACGCAACCCAGGGTTCCAGCATAGGAAAACAAAGCCTCAAAAACCTCTGGCTGTAAAAACCTGTGGGGATTGTGGCAGCAGAAGAAACTCCCAGCCTCACAGGAGAATATGTTGGAGAGACCCACAGGGTCCTAGAACATACACAAAACCACCCACCCAGGAATCAGCACCAGAAGGGCCCAATTTGCTTGTGGGTAGCAGGCAAAGCAATTGAAAACCAGCCCAGAGCCAAGCAAGTGGCATTGTTCCCTCTCTGGCCCCTCTCCTACATTTAGTGCCACAGTGCAGTGATGTGGCTTGCCCTGCCCTGGTGTATACCTAAGGCTCTGCCCCTTGATAGTAACAGGTACACCAAGACAAAAAAAAAAATATGGCCCAGGTGAAAGAACAGATCAAAGCTCCAAAAGTAGAACTAAGCAATGAAGGGATAGTCAACCTATCAGATGCACAGTTCAAAACACTGCTAATCAGGATGCTCACAGAAATAGCTGAGTATGGTCACAAAATAGAGGAGGAAATGAAGGCTATACAAAGTGAAATAAAGGAAAATATACAGGGAACCAATAGTAACAGGAAGGAAACTGGGACTCAAATCAGTGATTTGAAACAGAAAGAAGAAAGATTCAACCAGAACAGAATGAAGAAACAAGAATTCAAAAAAATAAGGAGAGGCTTAGGAACCTCCAGGACAATTTTAAATGTTCCAATATCCAAATCATATGGATGCCGGAAGAAGAAGAGGAAGAGCAAGAAATTGAAAACTTATTTGAAAAAATAATGGAGAACTTTCCCAATCTGGCAAGAAATAGACTTCCAGGAAGTCCAGGAAGCTCAGAGAGTCCCAAAGAAGTTGAACCCAAGGAAGCACACACCAAGGCACATCATAATTACATTATCCAAGATTAAAAATAAGGAGAGAATCTGAACAGCAGCAAGAGGAAAGAAGACAGTTGCCTACAAAGGAGTGCCTATGAGACTGTCAACTGATTTCTCAAAAGAAATCTTGTAGGCAAGAAGGGGCTGGAAGGAAGTATTCCAAGTCAGGAAAGGCAAGGACCCACTTCCAAGATTACTCTATCTAGCAAAGCTATCATTTAGAATGGAAGGGCTGATAAAGTGCTACCCAGATAAGGTAACGTTAAAGGAGTTCATCATCAAGCCCTTATTATATGAAATGTTAAAGGGACTTATCTAAGAAAAAGAAGATGATCAAAAATATGACCAGTAAAATGACAACAAACTCACAACTATCAACAAGCAAACCTAAAAAAAAAAAAAAACTAGGCAACTAGAACAGGAACAGGATCACATGGAGGGTTATCAGTGGAGAAGGTAGAAGGGGGAGAATGAGGGGAAAAGTACAGGGAATAAGAAGCATAAATGTTAGGTACAAAAAAAACAGGAGGTTGTTAAGAGTAGTATGGGAAATGGAGACGCCAAAGAACTTACATGTACAACCCATGGACATGAACAAAGGGCAGGGAATGCTGGAGGGAGTGGGTGGTACAGGGTGGAAGGGAATAAAGGAGAGAAAAAATTGGACTACTGTTACAGCATAATCAATAAAATATTTTTATAAGTCTCACAGTTTCCAGATATTTTACTTTAAACAAATTTAAAAGAAGACTAATAAGGAAGACATTCAAAGAATTGAGTAATGTGCTAAAATAAAATGGACCATGTAATTACTTGCTCCCAAGGAATTCCATCCATGGAAGGAATTCCATTCACATCTACTTACTTAATATGAATTAATTTTCTCAGTGCTTAGGAATAGTATTGAAATAGAATTGATGCTGACCCTTACCTCATTCTCATAGAATTAACACAGATTGGGAAAATCAAAAAAGGCCCAGGGTATGTAGCGCAGAGCAGAGGCCATCCAGGCAAACCAAGGAGCATGCATAGAAATGTGGAAGTAAAAAGGCCCTTAGCATAGTTTCAGAATGGAAAGAAGGAACCATAACTGGACTGTAGAAAACAAGGTGAGTGGCAGGAACAGGACCACACAAATGTTAAAAGACACGTTATGGATTTTATTCTTTATCTTGAAGCTATTGAAGAGTTTTAAGCAAGGAGATAGGAGCAGATTTTTATTTGAGAAATCAGTCTGGAGAATGGATTCCAGGAGAACAAGAGTGGGTATGCGGGGAGATGATGGAACTGTGAACTAGAAGGATGGATATCAAATGGAATGAAGTAAAAAGATTTAACAAAAAAGTAAAATCAATAGACCTCCATAATGGATTGACAGTGGAGATGAAGAAGAAGCAAGTATTAAGGCTGAACCTAAACTTAGGTTTTCACAACTGGATAGACAATGATGCTACCTACTGAGATGGAATATTGGGAAAGTTCCAGGTTTTGGGGAGGAATCATATCTGCAGGGAAAAAATCAAATTTAATGCATTCATATCTTTTTCTGAGCATAGAAAAGGGATATTGGGATGTATATAGAAAAACAAATTACCTGCTTAAGAAAGTTGCCCAGTTGCTCTCCAAATTAAAGGAAGAGTTACAGAGCAGTGATTCTGTGACTGCAATTTCCAGAGAGCCCTCAACCGTAGACATTTCAGGTTGTAATTCTCATTTACTCTTCTTTGCCAGTTATACTGTATTGTCCCAGCACTTACAGCAGGCAGGGGACATGCAAATCACCTCACCTCTTCTGGTGTTCTCCAAGCAACACATTGGCTTAAGAGCATGGGCAGTAGCAGCTTTGGGGGAACTTGGGCAAATCATTTTATGTCAGTTGACCTCAATTTGTCCATATTTTGTTTAGCAAGTATTACCAAAAGCATACTTGACTAAATGATCCCCAAGATCCCACCCAGGCATGAAAGTCCAATATTCCATTCATTCACTTTACATATTCATTCATTCATTTAGCATATATTTGGTAAGTGCCTACTATGTGCAAATAACTATATTAGATGCTACTGACATAGTGGCAGATAAGAAAGACATGGGCCCTTTCCAGAGGTTACTTTCCACAGGGTTGCCCTCTGACCTACCCCCCAAAGAAAAATTGAAAAACCCAACCAGAGCTGTCTGAATTAACTTTATAAGGAATCTGAAAAACAGCAAAATGGTTACACTAACCAAACAAACACTCAGTTAAGAAAAAGCCATCTTCAACATAATAAGAAAGTTTAGTGGAGTTTTTACTTGCCCTTGACTCACTCTCTAAAGCAGCAATTCTGGTCTCAAGCAGGTGGCAGCTGGGTTCCAAGTTCCATCTCTGAAAGGAGAGGATACAGACTGAACTTTCATATGATTTAGTCATTTTGGATATAACAAAATGAATAAAGCAAGGTGCTTAACTTTGTTTTGCAAAACCTAGAAAACTAGTTTAAAAGTTCCAATCACTGCTCATAAATGGTACAAGTCAGACTACAAACCCACAAATGCTTGGGGCAAGAGATTACAGTTGGAGACATACAATGGACCACTTAACACTTGAAGGAAAAACTGGGATGAAACTCTTTAGGTATTTAGGACATTTAAAAGGAACCATAATAAATGTAATACATCACATAAAAAATGAAAGATGAAAATCATATAATATCAATAGATGAAGAAAAAGCATGTGATAAAGTCCTAAAAAGTCCATAAAAATCGGAAATATTTTATTTTGCCTACATTGAACAAGCAGGTACACAGTTTAGCACAGTTCGTTTAACAAGAACTGTTGTGATTCAGCTATAGAAGAGAAAAGGCTGTGTCAGAGAGACAGGATGAAGGGGTGATGAGCCAAGCAGAGCAGACAGGAAGAGGAAATTGACCACAAGAAGGTGGCCCAGAAGTGTCTTATGATCATCATGCTCTAAAGCAACCCAGTGACAGTTGCTTGGTCTTTTATGTGAAAGCTGACTATGTAGAAACATAGACTGAGTAAAAGTATAGAA